TACCTATCATATCTATCTATCTATCTATCTATCTATCTATCTATCTATCTATCTATCTATCTATCTATCTATCTAGAGCCGAGGTGGCGCAGTGGTTAAATGCAGCACTGCAGGCTACTTCAGCTGACTGCTATCTGCAGTTCGGCGGTTCAAATCTCACCGGCTCAAAGGTTGACTCAGCCTTCCATCCTTCCGAGGTGGGTAAAATGAGGACCCAGATTGTTGTTGGGGGCGATATGCTGACTCTGTAAACCGCTTAGAGGGCTGAAAGCCCTATGAAGCGGTAGATATGTCTAACTGCTATTGCTATTGCTATTGCTATTTTGGCCCCATTTTATGACCGTTCTTGCCACCGCTGTTAAGGGAATCACTGCAGTTGGTTAAGTTAGGAACATGGGGAATCACATGACAACACACACACACACACACACGGGACATTGTGACGTCATATAATGTGAGTCAGTGCCCCCGCTCCTGAATTTTGATCACGTGACCACGGAGCCCTGCAATGATTGTAAGTTTGAGAACGAGCGCAAGTCACTTTTTCCAGGGCCGTCGTAAGTTTGAACGGTCACTAAATGTTGTAAAAGGAGGACTACTTATATTTGTACACCAGCGAGGAGGGGTCAGCGTGGCTCCGATAGTAGAAGACCTCTTCCAAACTTGGAAATCCTAAACGCATGGGGAAGGCATATCAAAAGAAACCACCCTGAGCCATCAAACCACGATTCCCTGGGCTGTTACAGCCTCTCTCTTAACCCAGATTAGATGGTTAAGAGAATGGATTTAATTCAAACGATAAGAGGAGTAGATATCCGTGCAAGGGGTTGTTTCGTTTATTCAATTTACGCCTTGGTGGCGCCGGCTTCCCTCCATCAGTTGCTCTCCACGAGACAAACAGAGATATAAACACTCGACTGGCAGCCAAGATCCAAGCTAAACAATGATTAAAATAACCATTTCACAGGCTTTTACTGACATTCTGCCCCCCCCCCTCCCGGAACACAACCACATCTTGACAGCTTTGCAAAAGGCTGGCAGGATGGGGTGGGGTAAGATGAGGTCAACCTGATCAGGGCTGAGAATGAAATTTCAAAGAATAGGCAGCAGAACAGGATACGTGAATTTCTTTCTTTCTCTTTCTTTCTTGTTTCCTTCCTCTCCTCTCTCTCCTCCTCCTCTCCCCTCCCCCTCTTTTTCTCTTCTTTCTTTCTTTTTCTTCCTTCCTTCCTTCCACTCCTCCCCTCCCCCTCCCTTTCACTTCCTTCTTCTTTTTCTTCCTTTCTTGTTTCCTTCCTCTCCTCTCTCCAATCCTTTCCCCTCCTTCTCTTTTTCCTTTTCTTCCTTCCTCTCCTGCTTCTCCTTCTCTCCCCTCCCTTTTCCTCTTCCTTCCTTCCTTTCTTGTTCTTCCTTTGTTTCCTTCCTTTCTCCTCCTCCTCTCCCCTCCCCCTCTTTTTCTCTTTTTCTTTCTTTTTTTTCCTTTCTTTGTTTCTTTCTTTCTTTCTTGTTTCCTCTCCTCTTTTTCTTTTCTTTCTTTCTTTTTCTTTCTTGTTTCCTTCCTTCCACTCCTCCCCTCCCCCTCCCTTTCACTTCCTTTTTCTTTTTCTTCCTTTCTTGTTACCTTCCTCTCCTGCTTCTCCTTCTTTCCCCTCCCCTTTCCTCTTCCTTTCTTGTTCTTCGTTTCCTTCCTCTCTCCTCCTCCTTCCCTCCCTCTCTTTTTCTCTTTTCTTTCTTCCTTTCTTTTCTTTCTTTCTTTCTTTTTCTTCCTTCCTTCCTTCCTTCCACTCCTCCCCTCCCCCTCCCTTTCACTTCCTTCTTCTTTTTCTTCCTTTCTTGTTTCCTTCCTCTCCTCTCTCCCATCCTTTCCCCTCCTTCTTTTTCCTTTTCTTTCTTTTTCTTCCTTCCTTCCTCTCCTGCTTCTCCTCCCCTCCCCTCTCCTTTCCTCTTCCTTCCTTTCTTGTTCTTCCTTTGTTTCCTTCCTCTCTCCTCCTCCTCTCCCCTCCCCCTTTTTCTCTTTTCTTTCTTTTTCTTCCTTCCTCTTTCTTTCCTTTCTTCTTTCTTTGTTTTTCTTTCTTTCTTGTTTCCTTCCTCTCCTCCTCTTTTTCTTTTCTTTCTTTCTTTTTCTTCCTTCCTTCCTTCCACTCCTCCCCTCCCCCTCCCTTTCACTTCCTTCCTTTTTCTTTTTCTTCCTTTCTTGTTTCCTTCCTCTCCTCTCTCCCCTCCTTCCCCCTCCTTCTTTTTCCTTTTCTTTTTCTTCCTTCCTTCCACTCCTGCTTCTCCTCCCCTCCCCTTTCTTCTTCCTTCCTTCCTTTCTTGTTCTTCCTTTGTTTCCTTCCTCTCTCCTCCTCCTCCCCTCCCCCTCTTTTTCTCTTTCTTTTTCTTCCTTTCTCTTTCTTTCTTTCTCTTTCTTTTCTTTTCTTTCTTTCTTTCTAATTTTCTTTCCTTATTCAATTTATTATGCTGACCCTCTCACTGTGGCAGCAATGTTGGGCCAACCAGCTGTTGTTAGACAACGCAGGGCCAACGATCAAAGGGTCAAAAATTCAGTTGGCACAGCATAACTTAGCACAGTGTTTCTCAACCTTGGCAACTTGAAGATGTCCGGACTTCAACTCCCAGAATTCCCCAGCCAGCNTTATTATTATTATTATTATTATTATTATTATTATTAAAAAAGATTGATCTCTAGCACTGCTTTTCAAACATGGCCACTGTAAGACATGTAGACTTCAATTCCCAGAATGCCCTAGCTGCCGGCTAGGGAATTCTGGGAGTTTAAATGCACCTCTAATCTCTAATCTCTAACCTCTGGCTGGGGAATTCTTGGAGTTGAAGTCCACTTCCTCCAATCTCTAAACTCTAATCTCAAAAAGCCTGCCCCATTTTCTGCCTTCAGAAATTTGCTGGGAAAGGCAGTTTAAAGCTAGAGCTGGAATTGGCACCCTATAAAACGAAAATCAGAAAGTCCCAGTTCCACCCTGGATTTCCCCCATCTCTCACCCGTTGCCTTGTCTGTCCTTGGCAGATCCGCTCGAAACTTCAGCTTCCGTCCCGAGGAGCCCTTTCCAACGAGCAAGAAGCTCTCCAAGGTCTTCTGCTACCTGGCCGAAAGCTGGAGCTCCCCAGCCCAGAGTGGGCTTGGCCGGTCCCGGTCCCCAAGAACACCAGCCGCGGGGTCAAACAGATGGATTCTTTTCTGATACAAGTGAAGGAGACATTTTCCTGTTTGCCCAACTGTCTTAAATGAAACTTTCCAAAGGTTTTTTTTGGGAAGATTCGAGGAGATTCCCACGATGGGGAAGGAAAAGCAGGACCAGGCAAGAGGGATCTCATCCGTCATCATCCCTAAGAGGAAAAAGAAAGGACCAGGCAGAGCTGGAGATGAGGAACCGGGAAGCGTTGGCAGTGCCAGGCAAAGCTGGCATATTTTTCTCCTGTTCCGATCACTTATCGCAACCAACAGGCCGTTGAAAGTTTCCCAGATTCCCATCGGAAGGATTTTCAACTCAAAGCCCTCTGGAAATAGTGAACTGGGTTTCCCAAGATGTACTATTTTTATTTTAGTCGAAAAAGCTTAAAATGCAAAACTCCAACAATTTTTTTTTAAAACCAAAGAAGAAAAAAATGCAATAAAACATTTAAAAAGTGCATTAAAGAGAAAAAGAAAGCCAAAACATAGATACATTCGATTCAATTCAGTTTATTACAGGGGTCAGGACAAATAAAAACAGTCAGTATACATTGAATTGAATTAAAACATATGTACATATTATATTACCTTGTTGAATATTGATTTTTGCGTGACTCAATATTAGTCCCCACCCCTTGCGAAACACCCCCCCCAATTTTTAAATTAGTAAATTTATTCGCAAATTATTAACCTGTCATTGATATATTATATTGAGGATAAACTAGATACCAGAAAGAACAATAATAATAAATTAATAAAGATGAGAGTGAAGTTTCAAAACCCTTTGCTAACAAACTGGTATTATAATTCACTCGTAGAAAATTTACATTGGCATTTTACATTTACCTGTGTCCCAAAGTGGATCTCTAGGATTTTGGGAAAAATCTGGCGATCACCAAGATCAGCAGAGATTTTGGCAGCAAAGCAAGGACCCAACTGTTTTTAATAATTAAAAAAAAGAGAGAGAAGCAAACCCAAATTTAACTCGGATGATTTTTATTTTTTTTAACGCTGAAAATGTTGCTAGAAAGGACACCAATAATCGGTGTTTTATCTACAACTTAAACTTAGCAATTTTAAGACTTGTGGACTTCAACTACCAGAATTCCCTAGCCGGCCCTGGGGAATTCTGGGAGTTAAAAGTCTTAAAGCTGCCAAGTTTGGAGACCCCCTAATCTACAGCTGTATTCAGACAACCAAATTTAAGGGTGGCGGATGCCCTCAGCCTTTCGGCCTGCCCTTTTCCCCCGGCCGAATTAAAACAGCTCTTTTATTAGTTCTCAAGTTCAGAAAATTGGCTTTGAACCCAGGAATAATTTTGGCTTCCTTGACTGCCAATCTTTCCTGCCGCAAGGCTCATGCCAACCAAGCGTGGTGTTAAAAGATTTAGTGGCCGTTGGTCACCATTCCCTCTCATCAAATGCTACCGGATGATAAGGATTCATCAGTCACTCGTGTTTAGAATCATAGGGCTGGCTGGGAGGGGACCTCCAAGGTCTTCTAGTCCAACCCCCTGCTTAAGGCAGGAGAGCTTATACCAGTGATGGGCAACCTTTTTGGCGTGGTGTGTCAAAAATCGGCAAAAAATCGAGCATAAC